TAATTTTAGAGCTTTTAAAAATCACACTAAACACACTCCTTTTTCTTAGCTCTTTCTTTTTTTGTGTCTTCCTAGCTTTCCTTTTTGCTGCACTTTCTCTCTTTCTGATGCTGCATTCTTCTTTCAGCCTGGAGCTCACTGGATGATGGTTGGGCTTCAGCCATTTAACTCCTTCCAACTTTGCTTGAAATAACCCCTTTCATCTGCAGTTCCAGCAAAGACTCCAACCTCTTCCAACCCCAAACCTGAATTAACCTCATTTTTTACCCCTTTATTAATGATCAAGAGATCAGATGACTCCTGCTGGCCACAGAAGGCCGGTTTGTGATTTAAAGGAGTAGCTACTCTCCACTGAAGTAAACTTCAGGGCATTTATTAACACATCAGAGAAACCAGGCATTTTGGGGGTTGTTTTCTTTTTGGTTTGCTCTATCTGGGTGTTAAGGAAGGCATCCAAAAGACCTTGTAAGTTGGCACTGCCTACAATTATCTCAGGACAATTAGCTAATTGGGAGTGGTAGCCAGTCAACACAAAGAGTCATTGTAGAGCCAGCGTGAGGGAGTAACACGAAGAATATTAATCTTAAAGATTTTGGCTTTTCCACACCTTCGCATTAGGTCTGCTGATATTATATCGTTCTTGTGCATTGATGAAGTTCCTTTAATGCTACAGATAATTGCTCTCCTCCCAAAAGCAGAGATACAATAAGCTTTAACCAATAGATGAGTCACTTAAGGAAGAAGCATTCTCTTTATTTACTTTTCATTTTCTTTTTTTCATTTCCCATTCCTGTAATACACTAGGGCCTTGAAATATAAATGGGTGTGATCTACTAATAAAAACTTAATGGGCAGACTAAGTTTTCATAGAGAATGCTTAAGCAAGAAGACATATATTAATCTTTGAAGACAGGTAGTCCTTGACTTATGACCACACTTGAGTCCAACATTTCCATTCTTAAGCAGGGCAGTCGTTAAGTGAATTACATCCCATTTTATGACCTTTTTTGCTACAGTTGTTAAGTCAATGACTGCAGTTGTTAAATGAATCATGCGGTCATTAAGCAAAGCTGGCTTCCGCCATTGACTTTGCTTGTCGGAAGCTGGCTGGGAAGGTAACAAATGGTGATCACATGACCCAGAGAGAGTGCAGCTGTCACATGTCAGTTGACAAGCACCTGAATTTTGATCCTATGACTATGGGGATGCTGCAACGGCCGTAAGTGTGAAAAAAAAGTCATAAGTCACTTTTTCAGTGTCATTCTAATTTTGCATGGTCACTAAATGAATGGTTGTAAGTTGGGGACTACCTGTGCGCATTTGCTAAGAAGTCATCATATCTCTCCAGTGTTGAAAAATGACCTGGTAGTCTCTAGAATTGGAGTGTATTATTCCCACCACTTTCAAAAATGCTGCCAAAACAAGGGCAAGGATTAGTGTAGGGAGTTGCCAGGAATCCATGGTGGCCTGAAGCCCTCCCTCCCCAAAAATAAAAGATGAAGGAAGGTTGCCTTAATGTATTAGAAATGAAAACAAACAATAATTGCCTTATTATGAGCCGTGGTGGCGCAGTGGTTAGAGTGCAGTACTGCAGGCTACTTCTGCTGACTGTCTGCTGCCTGAAATTTGGCTGTTCAAATCCCACCAGGCTCAAGGTTGACTCAGCCTTCCATCCTTCCGAGGTGGGTAAAATGAGGACTCAGATTGTTGGGGGCAATGTGCTGACTCTGTAAACTGCTTAGAGAGGGCTATAAAAGCACTATGAAGCGGTATATAAGTCTAAGTGCTATTGCTGTGTATCATCTAGCAAAAATACAAAAGCTGGAGCTGCTTGGTTCACTTGGTTGCATTTCCATATCAGTGGTGCTTAACTTTCCCATCTAGATTTGAACCGAGCAAAGTTCAAATAAATGCAACCGTATTTTTTCATACTTCCCCTTTTGGGTCTTTACTTTTCCTTTCCTTGCTCCACCTCCTATAAAGGGCAGCGATATGAAGATTTCTCCAAAATAACAAACATGAGGTAATGTCACAATACAAGCTCTTCTCCTTTTGTAAAAGGTAGAAGAGTCCCTGAAGATTTAAGACCGCTAAATTGTTGCTGTCTCTAGGGCAGGGATACTCATCCCTGTTGCAAGGCCATTGACCTAGTGCTGTCCAGAATGTCTTCCATGGTCATGTGGCCAACATGACATCAAAGAACGCTGTTAGCTTCACTCTGTCATGTGGCGCTCAGGCCTCAAACCTAGGCTGCCAGCTTTCGAGCCAACAAGGCCAGCATCTTAATGGCTGAGCCACCGCCCTGTCCCTTATGTACTTACATACTAGCTCTTTATATACTCTTCCATGGTCATGTGACCAACATGACATCATAGAGCGCTGTTCGCTTCTACTGAACTGGTACCTATTTATCTACTTCCATTTGCATGCTTTTGAACTACGAGGTGGGCAGGAGCTGAGGCAAGGACAGGAACCCACCCTGTCATGTGGCGCTCAGGCCTCAAACCTGGGCCGCCGGTTTTCCAGCCAACCAGCCCAGCATCTTAACCACTGAGCCACCACATTGCATCTTATGTATTTATGTACTAGCTCCTTATGTACTTGCATGAAAGAGGTGGAGTTTGTGATGTTGCAATGCATATTTTGTCACTTCCCCCCTCCCTCATGGCTATGATCAGAGCCATCTGCAAGGAGATCAAGAAAGTCATATGGCGAATACAGCGCAGAATAAATTGCAACGCAACCTCTTCCCCTTTCGAACAATGTGTCATGACACAGCAGGCATTTATGAAAGTGACGGTGACAGCAGGACACTGCTTTTGTCAATGTATCAGATCCTATTGATGCCTCCATTTCCAAACCTTACAATCTGCAATTCTTTAATTCTAATAATTAAACATTAGAGCACTCTGGAAGGACTCTTGTGATACGTTTTTGATCACTGGATCCCTTACATTGCTCATAGAACAGGGGTTAATGGGAGACAAAATCCAAAACATTTGGAGGGAATGCCAATTCCTGCATTTAAAGTTAATTTCTAAAGGCTCCTTTGGTCAGTTGTTCAGTTAGATAATTCAAATTTGGGGGTTAAAGTTTACATAGTAGATGATTGTCTGTTTAGATAACAAATTTGGTCCAGGGCAGGGGTGTCACGGCGTCATCATGTGATGTATTGGGACTTTTTTCCCCCTTTCGATAAATTGTGGCCAGCACATGACACATCCAACCGATGGGCCAGGAGTTTAACAGCCCCGGCCTAGGGGCAAAGGCACCAGTTAGAAACCAGGAGATTGTAAGTTCTAGTCCTGTGTTAGGCATGAAAGTCAAATGGGCAACTTTGGGCCGATCACTTTCTCTCAGTCCAACTCACGTTGAGTTATTTATAAAAATAATAAAAGCAGAACAAAAAAAAGTTATATTAAAACTTTCCAGTTGCTCCTGGTTGGGACTCTGAACGTGTGCTCCAAAGTCCTATCTTTGTGGTGCCATTTCCTCTGATAAAAATTTTCCTTGTACTGCAATACTTAATCTGATTTTGGTATAATTTACATGTTATTTTCCGTGTCATATCAATAATATATGCAACGATTGTATCACCCTGGATCATAGGAAACAGTTCTAGAAACCAGCTGCTCCTGTGGGGTGAGAATGCAGCATCTGTCTGAGGCTCATTAAAGCAGCCCGCTCTTAAGGATCTCTTCAAAGTGAATTAAATGTGTTGCAAAGACTTAATGAGAACCAGATGTATGGTCCAGCTCTTCAATAATTTATCAAGGTGACAAAGTAGTTGATGCTGAAGTTGATTTTCTCATCGACTATATTGCCTTAAAAAAATAACATTTCAGTCATGTTTTTGGCTGTAATCCAAGGAGTTTGTTGATGGGCAGTAAAGTAAATTTAGTTGAGTTATTCTAAAAGAAAACAAAACATCCATTACCAGAAGGAATGTCACAGACAGAAGCAGAATATGGAACTCCTCCTTGAGGGTGATGGGCAGTTTAGAAATATGAAATATAAATAAATAAAGTAAATTAATACTACAACCAAAGCCATTGTCACAAAAGCATAATTAAGCATAGCAAAGAAGAATAAAATAAAATGAAGAGAAGGTGGAGCAAAACCAGTAAGCAATTCCAATCCATTTACCCATCCATCTAAGCTCTCAGCAACAATATCTGCCAAGCCAGATATAAAGACGCCAAAGCTATCACGATATAACATTTATCAATATCAGTCCTTGCCTGACCTCTCTTCCAGAAAGCAGGGACGAGCAAGCCTGTCACTAATGCCTAGAACACTTTGCAAACAGGGAAGCTGATACTCTCTGTGATCTGGGGGTGCTGTGGCCTGTTGGGGTGCTGTGTGAACTAGAGCAACGTATCAGTATTTCTTCCTTGAGGGAAGAAATCAGCAGCAATTGTTCCCCCCACCCCACTACATACAGAAGTCTTCTCTCCTTTCTCCTTAGGTAGAAGGATATAAGGGTTCCCAACTTGTCCAGCATACTAGAGAAAGAGAGAGGCATCAGACTGGAAAGTTGAGGAAGACTTTAGAGAAGGCAAGACTCTGCAGGCCAGAGCAAGTTTATTAGCGTAAGTTGGCCTGTGGACTGAATGTTCCTTCCTCCTGAGCTATAAAACTGCAATCCAGATTAGCATATTTCAAAATGCCTATTAGCAAATCAAGAGTGAGGAGGACAATTTCCTGCCTTCTGAAAACCAGAAATATCTCCCTTTGTTTGGCCAACTCGCCATCTTCATTTAGACATTTTACTGATGCCTGATTGAGAAGGCCCCATTTCCACATATGTCCTACTTTGGACCACGCATAGCGTGCTGGCTCTATATCATTTCATTCAGTGAAACGTTGTACTGGCTCTGTATCATTTCATTCAATGTGCAGGTAATAGGGCTAGCACGTACCCATGGAGATGTTATTTTACTGACATTTGAAGGCAATATCCCAGTGGCTTTGGAATTGCAGCGGTCCTTTCTCCAAGATTACATAAATTCTTCAATCTTCTCTTCAAGCTTTTTTGTATTAGTCCCAGTTACTTCGAAGATCTAGGATCAAATAAAAGTCAGCACAGTTAATGGAAGATCGGGAATTTGAGGAAGGACTTCTCTCATGTGAGCTTCCTTGGGTATTTTTAAAGTCCCTTTTGGAGTCTTTCCTTTACAGAGTTCCAGTTATCCATTAGAATAAGCTCAGTGTTGCAATGTTTTGCCCAGAGAACTTCATGTTTCCATTAATGCTATTTCACACCAGCAAAAGGGGATTAAATAAACAGCAAAGGGGGATTAAAATGAGAAGGGCTATTCAGCAGGATCTGACCAGTTCTGGAGAACCAGTAGAGGAAATTTTGAGTGATTCAGAGAACCAGCAAATGCAACCTCTGACTGTACCCACCCCCCATCTATTCTCTGCCCCCCCTCGAGTCCCAGCTGATCGGCTGGGTCTTCTTTTGTTGCCCTGCACAGGAGAACGAAGCTGGAAAGAAGAATTCTGGGAGTTGAAGTCCACAAGTCTTAAAGTTGCCAAGTTTGAGGAGCCCTGCGTTAGATTGATAAGAAGAATACGTGTGATGCAGGGGTGGGTTTCAAATTTTTAACAACCGGTTCTGTGGGCGTGGCTTAGGTGGTAGGCGTGGCTTGGTGGACATGTGACTGGGTGGACATGGCTTGGTGGTCATGTTATTGGCTGGGCATGGCCAACTCAATATCACTCACATCGAGGCACGCATCTCCTTGCCTGGCCTCTCATGACTGTGGGGATACTGCAACAGTTGTAAGTGTGAAAAATGGTCATAAGTTTTCAGTGCCATTGTCACTTTGAATGGTCACTCCACACAAGCAAAGTACCAGCAAAGGACGGGGGGAAAACTCCAGAGACGTTCCTGAGACAGGAAGTCTAGTCTTGCCAAGAATGTAATAAGGGTTAACAGAGAGGCGGTTTCTGTAAGCAACATCAGAATGTTTCCTTCCTGCCTTCCGTACAGGATTAGGCCAGTAATTTCTTCTAACAGCCGGTTGTCCGAACTGCTTAGAATGTTAACAACTGGTTCTAGAGAATAGGTGCAAACTGGTAGAATCCCACCCTTGGTGTGATGTGTGTGTTTCTTTTTCATCTTATCCTCAGTGTGGGAATATTAAAATAACATACAAAACAGCATTGGGATTGTGTGGTCTTCAGCCTGGCAGGTGGGTCAAATAATTTTTTCTCTGAATACGCTTTGTTATTTGATTTCCATATATGCAAATTGAGAAACAGCTACTACCGTGTTACTCAGTACCGTAGTAGAGGGACAACAAAAAAAAAGTAATATATTGATTGTGTCGCAGTGGTGAAAACTATGATCAGATAACAATCTGGGCCTTCTTGGTCTGAAAGACCCAGCACTGTCAAATATTGATTCTAGTTAGTTTAGTTTAATTTTAGTTGACTTTATTGCACCTCATACAATGAAATTAAATACCATCTTCAGTGTACATTATGATTATGAAAATAAACACAAACACACATCCTTCACATTCCATACATTGAATTGAAAGCCCCTGATATTGCATTAATATTGCACTATACAGTAGAATTCAACAGAGCTACTGTCCTGGGATAGAAGCTGTTTTTCAGCCTATTTGTCCTTGTTTTTATTATTCTGTACCGTCTGCCAGATGGTAATCGTTCAAAAAAAGGGTTCCCAGAATGAGATGGATCTTTGAGAATATTTTGAACTTTCTTAAGGCAGCAGGAGCTATAAAGCTCTTCCAAAGAGGGGAGAGGACAACCAATGATGTTCTGGGCGATGACATTAGCCCTCTGGAGTGCTGTCCTATTTTGCTCTTCCGTCTGATTGGTTTTTATTTCTATAAAAAAGCTGGACTGGACAGTTATTCCAATAAAGGTCATGTTCTCTAAAGGGGAATACATTGCAACTCCAGTTGATAGACGTCAGAGATATAAGCACGAGCAGTTAGCTGCCTAGCCCTACTGTTCCAGATTGCTGAAAACCTGCAGAGCTGTTGCGTTTCCCAGACTTTCCCGTAGGAAACTATGTAAGAGTTTGTGAGCCAAAGTTTACTCCTACTCGTCCATGTCTCTTCTTAACACGTTTTAATTTTAAGACTGTACAGGCTTACAACAATTTGTTTAGTAACTGTTTGAAGTTACAATGGCACTGAAAAAAGTGACTTATGACCATTTTTCGCATGACCATTGCTGCATCCCCATGGTCACATGATCAAAATTCAGAGGCTTGGCAACTGACTCATATTTGTGACGGTTGTAGTGTCCTGAGGTCATGTGATCATCTGTGGCGGCCTTCTGATGAGCAAAGTCAACAAGGAAGCCAGATTCACTTAACAACCATGTTACAAACACCACAGCTGCAGTGATTCAGTTAACAACGGTGGCAAGAAAGGTTGTAAAATGGAGGCAAAATTCACTTAACAAATGTTTCACTTGGCAACAAAAATTGAGGACTGAGTTGGTGATTGTAAGGACTACCTGTACTCCTGAAGGAAAGCTATTTAACACTTCAGTAGACCCCAAAGTATTCACCTCCTGGACTGGACTGAAAAAAATCACTAACAAAGGTAGTTTTCCTAAATGACATTTAAATCTGTGCAGATCCCATGACTGCAATTTGAACAACATGCATGAGTTGGTTGAACTTTTATGTTAAATAGAAGTTTTCTGCCTTCTCCATTAATAATATTTATGCATATGTATAAAGAATGAAGAAAAGTCTCAGAAGAGCCATTAGAGTTAGGAGACAACTATTATAAGCAGAAATTTGGTGAGGGAAAGCAATGTATTAAACTTAGATACCACTTCAGTCAGGAAATTGATTTCAGATCTTGCTTCTAACCTGTATTCATAGTTTTAATTTATACCTATACTTAAAAAAAATAAGTCCTAGTAAAGTTATTGGGACCTATTCTCAAACAGAATTGCAAATCAAGACAATTTTCTAAGGTAATGTTTCTCTAATTATTTAAAAAATGCAGATCTAAACTGTAGAAAAATTCTTTAAAAGGATTTGGCAAGGAGATCCTTTCTGGCTTTCTTTGCATTGTAAACAAAATGTAGCACACATATCACGCTGACAGACTTTTTTTTTTTATCAAGAGATTCCTTCCCTTCTCTGAACCTTCTGAAATTACAGAATACAATATTATTTTGTTCCAAGGTGAGTCCAAGAGATGGCAGAGATGGGAGGAAATCTCTTTGTAGGATAATTGAACAATGCTGTACAATATTGGTTTGAAGTATGTTAGAAAACCACTTTATAGCTTTGGAGAGTGGGGGTACCGTTATTATGGGAAAAAGAGAAGGAGGAAGGAGTTTTAAGTATGTTTGCCACCTTATTTTTTTTTAAAAGGCTGGAAATCTCTCCCTCCCTTTTTCCCTCCCTCTCTCCCTCCTTCCAGGAGACCATGGAGGAATTCTATAATACATTTACTGCCTTCATGATGTTGGGCAAGTCATTGCATTTTAGATTCATCTTTACACCTGCAATGCAGGTATAATATACCAGATTCAGACAATAAGAAATATATTGATCAGAGAAGTACTGTGCAAAGATGATAATTAAGTATGACAAGGACTTAAGTATAATTGAATTCAGGCGTTCAATTTTTCCTCCTTATGCATAGGTGTGCAAAATCCTCCCTTCAGTTATTGAAAGCAAAAATCCTCATAAATTTTGAAGTACTTTCTTTAGTTTGTAGCAAAGTGTTCAATGGAGCAACAGGTATTGCTTGACTAGTTGAGAGAAAAAAACTGCTTTTTGATTGCATTTTCTGACTCAACTGTAGAACAAAAAATCCACAAAGTCTTTCTACTGATGTGGTTGTAGAACTACAGTTGTAAAATGCCGGCAGTCTCAGTTTAGTTTATAATGTAGCAGGTATGTTCATCTAACAAGAGTATAAATAAAGTGAAATCCTCAGGGAAAACTAAATATTACACAAACCAATGTCTATGGAGATTCTCAGTCATCTAGGTCATAGTTGTCCCAACGATGGTTTTTGAAAAGGCAAGTAGACTTGTTTCATTTCTCATCTAAGAAGTTTTTTCAGAACTGAAGAAGCTTCTTTGATGAAAAGTGAAACACCTTCAAGCAAAAACAAGAAAGTCCAATTGCCTTTTGAAAAAGCATCGTTGGGACATGAAGCCAATGAACAACAATAATCACAACTTGTCTCAAAATATTGGATAAGGAGGTTCTACCACAGTCTGATTCAATACTAGATTAGACAACTGATTGTGGAATTGGGAATATTCATTCACTGAACTTAATATTTCTAGCTTTCAATTAATATTCCCCCATAGGCAGAGCTGTGAGGGCCACAATCAGGGCAACAAATGCTGAACTTTGAAGATTTAGACCTAGCTTAGTGTACTAAACTGTGCTTTTAGGCCACACGTACCTTATCTCCTTTCATGAAGAACTGAAATGTTGGCACAACAACAATACTGCAGAGGACAGCTACATCCTGTTAAGAGAGATAAACTCATGTGCCATAAAGTCCTAGAACTCATTCAGCTACATTAGCCACTACCTTTTTTTTTTAATGCTTATAATAAAAATGAGAAAGAAGAAAAACATTTTATACAGCCTCTCAAGAGCTGCATAAAATATTCCCTAATTTTGTGGTCAGCTTGAAAGATCACATTTGATATGGCTAAATAATTGCCTTTGCATTACTTTAAAGGTCTTTGCTGCCTTTTACTTGCATCTTGCAATACAAATTTCTTTTTTATTCTCTTTATTTCTCTTTATCACTTTTACAATGCATTAGCCCACAACCATACAAACATGACAGGGCTACCTGTGGAGAATAAACAGCAAATCATTAATATTTGCATAAGTGTGGGGTGTGTGTGTGTGTGTGCACGCACCCACACCTACACCCACGCATACACACACTGTTGCCAATGTGTATGAATGTGTATATGCTCTCAGACATAAAGAGTATATTCCTTGTGTGTCCAATCACATGGCCAATAAAGAATTCTATTCTATTCTATTCTATTCTATTCTATTCTATTCTATTCTACTCTACCCTACTCTAGTCTATATACTCTACTCTTCTCTGTCCTTATATCTCTATATCCCCATCCCCATTCCCATCCCTACCCTTATCCTTCAACTCCCAGAATTCTCCAACCAGTTCAAGTCCACACATCTTACACGTTGCTAAAGTTGAGAAACTCTGCTTAAAATGTTGCTTAAGATCAAAATACAATTGTAGTCAGAGGTCACTTTGCAACTGTTCAACATTTGTGATTAGGATTCAGCTAAGCCTAGTACACACCTTTTTTGGGATTGGTTTGTTGATAACATTGTATGTTTAGATGATATCAGCACTGCAAGATAACTTGGGGTTAATAGGATATTGCTGCAAATATGATTTTATAAAAAGAGTTAACGAAAGGATATTTCTAGTTGAAAGCTGTCCAGTTATTAGGAAGTTTCAGTTCTGAAGGACCATATGATCAGTGTTCTGAAGAATGTCCTGAATTAAACTACCAAACCTGTTTTGGCTGCTTTGCTTTCATTCAAAGTTCCAAGGGCTAATCATCTCCCTTTAGTATTGTTAGTTGGGTTAGAATAACTGGTAATAACCAAGCAGTTAGGATTCTAAAACAGCTGTTTCTATCTGTTGTCCTCTAAGAATAAGAAGTTGTTGCTGTTGTGTTATTGTTGTTTTGTTCTCAGGGCTTACTGTTTAACTTCCAAATGTTTTGCCAATAGGCTAGGAGACATCTTCAGCGGGACTTAGGTTGAAGTGTCTTGTTTCAGTTCTTCTCCACTTTTATTGATCTCATGTGGTCATGTGGTCAGTGGGTCATGTGATCAGCTGGTCATACCATGTGACATGCTGCATAAGTGGCTTGTGATATCATGTGAAGGTGGTGAAGTGAAGTGGAGAGGTGGTCAGTGCTGTTGTCTGTTGGTTGCTTGATTGATTTGGCTCCTTATGGGCTCATAGACTTCCTCAGAAATCCCACTGAGGATGTTAGCTAGCTTGGTGATGAAATGTTTGGAAGCTAAACAACAAGCCTGGAGAACAAACCACCACCACCACCATCTACCACCCAAGCTGCAAACCTATTCTATCATTTCTAAAAAAAGTTGGATTAGAAGTTTCATAATCTAACTAGGGCTGCAGAAGGCTGCTCAAGGAGGCATCTAATCCTTCTGGATTGAGGTACTCACCTCTGCCAAGTCCACATCAACGATACAGAAAAGGACATTTTCATATCGAACAGCCAATTCCTTCAGAACAAAAGTGGAAGAAAATATTTAAATGTGGCCCAAATCACAACTGGCCTAAACTTTAAATGTCTTTCATTTGTAGGGTATAATTCCACTTCTGATTTTTCTCTCTTATTACAATATAAAGTTGTACCTCTAAGAGACAAAATATATGAAGAGTTACAAAGACAATGAGTGAAATGACATTGTGAACGTCAAGATATTGAAACAAGGATTTTGTTTATTTAGAATAAAATTATTGCTTCATGGGGTGGAAAATAGATATCTGATTATTTCAACTCATAAAGACCCTTATGGCTTGGTGTCCTGTTAAATATAGGATAAGATCTTTCCATGAAACTTTGCCTGACTACTTTGATTGTGCTGAAAAAACCCAGAGGGCTATTTCCCATTTTTGAGAAGTTAGGGGGTTGAAATCTAGAAATCTGTTGTTTTACTGGAATGAGGCCGGCTGAGATGACCCAGAGCGTGGCACAAAGGCAACACAGTCAAATAAGCAAGAAGTGTCCCTTTAATACCTCCAACTTTGCCCCCCAATGTCCAGGTTACCTTTGGCTGGAGAAAAAACTCTCCCAAGAACAGTCTTTAAGTGGAAGAAATTCAGTCCAAAAACAAAGTACATACAAACTGTAAATAAAAATCCACACAAACCAGGCTGCAGTAATTAACTTGACAGGGCAGGAGAAGGAATTGCAGACTTGAAAGCCCAGCAAAACACATACAGTTGGGAAGAACCCAGGAACCCAGATAAGCCTCGACGATACCAGATCATTCACGATTTGCTCCCAACAACTTTGCTGTGCACAGCTTCCCTTTTTTAAACACTGTGTTCCCAGCTGCAGCTAATAAAGGGAATCAAGGCCCTTTCCTCCCCCGTAGGCCACGCAACTCACATTGCTCCCTTTTCTGTTCCTCCCTGCATGCCCTAGGATGAAGAGGGTGTGGGCCTCTCCCTTGCTCTACCTCTCCCTTGCTCTGCCCAGCCAGCCTTTGCCCTTTCCAACTTTCTTCCACAGACAATGGAGCCACACTCCCACTCCCTGTCAGCTGCTTGGCCTCCCCCTCCGAATCAGACAGGGGCATGACACCAGCCCTTTGAATTGACCTCCCACTAAAGTTTTATTCAACCCCCAAGTTATATATATTATAAAATACTGTGTTTTATATTCTTGTGCTCCGTTATGAAGGTGAGCTGCCAAGAATCTTATTAGGATAGGATATGAATCTGATTAAAAAATGCCCCTCATCCAGACCATGACCATAACACATAAAACACCATAAATATGTGATCGTTCTCTCAATGATGAATGAGTTCCTCTGCACATTTTAAAGTAGTATAAACAAACAAAAAAGTCATAATTAATGCCTATTGATTAATTAGTTGGGTTTCCAAATATCTTAAATTGTTGTGATTTAGCCTATTGGATGGCCAGTACTTAATCAATTCATATGATAACCTGCAGTGCATGAACACTTCTGAAGATGGCTGGGGATCACTGGAAATGCAGGCCTTGTATATACCTCAATGTTTTGTGAGTCTTAATTAGTACGGGGACAAGATGAAATTCAAGATGGAGTCAGCCATGACTCTGAAAAATAATTCCCTGGCAGTGCCTTCTGAAATCATTGTCAAAAAAGAACTACAGTACATCCTGTCCCAAGCAGGCACCATTGGACATGAATATGGAATCAAGGAAAACAGCATTAAAAATTAAAATCTTATGCATAATAGAATTGCTCAGGCATTCACCACTACCTTTACTTGGATGGCCTATCGGTCATGCTAGGAATATTGTCTCCAGGAATTGTGTTTGTGTGTTGGCATAGCAGGAGTTGAAAAAAATCCCTACTAAAATTGGTTAAATGTAGATTTTCTTTTAATAAAATGTTTTTATAAATTCTATATGATACAGGCAAGGGTCCTTTGTTTTATGGAAGAAATACAGGAATATCTATTCTCCAGCTGTTCAAGCCTTAACCCTGTGTGATGGCAAGATGTCACTTGCCTCAGCTCCCAACAAACCAGCAATTTAAAAGCATGTAAGTGCAAATAGATAAATAGGTACCACTTCAGTGGGAAGGTAGCTATTCCATGTTTCACTGCATGCTCTGCACTGTGGCCAGCCTAATGTCATGCTGGCCACATGACCATGGAAATGTCTTTGGATAGTGCTGGCTCAATGACCTAGAAATGGAGGTGAGCACCACCTTCCAAAGTTGAATATGAATAGTGGAGAACAATCCGAGGGACTACCTTTTATAAGAATGCCAACTCTATGACAGCTCTGTGTCCCATATTGGGATTAATACTTTCTTCAGAGATCTATGACTTAAGTTGCTTGTTTGGTTCATCTTGCTGCTGGAAAAGCACCAGATAATCAACTTGTCTTAAATACTTCAGCCAAATCATCCGAAGGATTTTATATTTTGATACATTAAAACCAAACATCTCTTCTGTAACTGCTCTCCTGTTGCATTCTTAATCTTTTACTCTCTGTTTACTGTATATGTAGTCTATATCTGATGCTTTTCTTGAGTGTTATCCAGAGGTGGTATTCAGCAAGTTCTGACCAGTTCTGGAGAATCGGTAGTGGAAATTTTGAGTAGTTCAGAGAACCATCAAGTACTACCTCTGACTGGAGATTTTACAGTATCCCTCCCTTGTTTACTTATAGTAAACGGTGAAGCAAAGTCCAACAAACAGTCCAAGTCATACACAGTTATAGCAGTCAGTTTTCAGTCCAGGGATAATCCAGTAACGAAGTCCAGTATCAAAAACAGTTCAGTAAAAGACTCACATCAAATCCAAGAATAACGATGATCAGCAACAGTCAATAGGGAAATGCAGGAACGGCAACACTCTCAGAAACCAGGTTTCTGGCTCCATCTTATGTGTTGGAATCACACCTTATAATTTTAGCATTCCCTTAAAGAGACAGTATTAAAATGTCTATCCTGGTTTATATATTTCCAACCCAACTGTTAGGTGACTTACATTCCTAACAGTTCCCATTCTATGCTTGGAAAATCATTGCTTTTGAGAATTGCTGTCATCCAGACATTTATTAAAAATGACCTTTAGGTTAAAGTCTCCCTCAAATTTAATTCGATTCCCAGAAATTTCAGGGATTCCTTCATGTTGTTTTTTTGGCACAAATGTCTTCATTGTTATCATTCCAGCTAGATGGGCTCCCATTGATTTTGGTGAGAGCCAACATAGGCAAAACAATTATCTCTTCTTCCTCGTTCTCACTCAGGCTCCTGTAACTTTGCCAAATTAAAAAAAAATAGTTTTCTTTGCCATATAACTTTTAAAAGGAGCTCTATAAAGATATGAAATGGATGGCCTAGAAGATGAACAAAGTAATGTCCTTTTAATTTCAGGTCTTGACTCCATCATGCCACATCAAATAAATATATGAATTACAGTACAGAGAATGTATTCCAATATTTCCATTCACTCACACTAGGGTTATTTTTGTTCAGATTGTTACTACTGTATAAGAGGATCAAGTGTTTGTGCTTCTCTACCCAATTGTACAAAAAGACCACGGCACTTACAATCGGATGCTAGAATGGGAAGTGAGAGAAGACAGAAATACAAATTAGAGGTTGAAAGATCGAACGTAAGAATCCATACTTTGGGGAAAGTATTTCCAGCAAAGGGAAGAAGGTCAAGCATGCATAGACATATGTTCCTAACCATGTTGCCAAAAAAGATGAAACATCACAATGTCATAACATGTTTTATCAGTCCTGCCTCAACAAGGACACTTATGCAGAAATACTATCCCTTTGCAAGGTGGTGTTGAAAAGAGATGCCATGAAAATTTGGAGCCAAATCAAATGGACAGCATCATTGTAGGCTGGCAGTGTTATGGCTTGGTGTAAGCCAGCATCCTATGATTAAGGGAGAGAAGCAAATGGACTACTAGCACACCACAACAGATGGATGTTTTCTTGTTGCATTGTGGCTTCACTTACGTAAAGAAAAGGACGAACAATTTTGCAAGGCCCACACCATTTTGCTGTAAAGTTCACCACAACAAGGCGGGGTCCTGCACTCTTCAGAAATTCCGTAAATTCTTTCTGTTTGGGAAGCAAGTACAGAAGCAGTCAGAGGTTAAAAACTTCACACAGTGTGGGGGATGAAGAATGCCAAAGGTTTGAATCTGAGAGAACAATTTTCCTCACAAATAAAGCCTACCTTTGTGTATAATTGTTCTTCATATTATATTAAATTTCATTCTTTATGGGGGCTCGTGGCTCATGTTAAAGACTGACCGCCCGGGTTCAAGACCTGAATGTAATGAGATGGGATGAGCTGACCATGCTTAAAACTGACAGCCTGGGTTCAAGACTTGTGTCATGTGATGGGGTGAGCTCCCGTTACTTGATCCAGTTCCTGCCCAAGTTGCAGTTCAAAAGCATGCAAATGCAAGTAGGTAAATAGGTACCACTGCAGAGCTGGCCGCAGAGTCGGACAGTGGGGAGGAACATAGGCCAATTCTGAAGTCTGGGGAGGACTTGGATGAGGGAACTGCATCCGACATAGGGATGGGCCAGAGCCATTTGAAAGTTATGTGCGGACTCCAGAGCTTCCAAATCTGACATCAGCGATGCAGAGGAACAGGGGGAGCTGGTTCCCAGTGTGCGCTTGCGCAGAGCTGCCAGAAGTCAAGAACAGTTAAGACAAAAGGGGCAACTCGGGAGTAAGGCTTGGAGATGATTGGCCCCTCCCATAAGACATAAAGGAGGAGCAAAGGGACATGAGCCTTTGTAGGAAGCAACTTTGTTCGTTCTGGTCCATTTAAACTCTGAAGCTCCATGTGGACTTTGTTCTCCGTTTGGCCTTGTACAGCTAATTGGCAATTTAGTTGTTGGCAGCATTTTTAAGGGAAATAAGGTGCTTATCAGCCTTCTCCCGAAAGACTGCGGCAGACTTCTGTTGAACTATTCATAAACTGTTTGGGACTCATTACTGTGCTGTGAATGAAATAAAACAAAAGAGTTTTGGGAACAGCATGTGATTATTACTGTCTCAGGAAGCCTTAATCAGAAAGCCACGTCAGTGGGAAGATAACAGTGTCCTATGCACCTCAGCATATAGTCATGCTGGCCACATGACCATGGAAGCATCTTTGGAGATCACTGGCTCACTCGGCTAAGAAATGTAAATGAACCCCTCCCCCTAGAGTCGGACATGACTGGACAGGGGAAACCTTTACCTTTACCCCGTTGTTTATACAACTCTAAATGAGAGCTATTTGTAAAATCAGTGGTTCTTATTTAAGAAAATTAGAGTAGTTTAAAGCCACTTTATCCAACCATGCCCCTCTTAGGGATGTAACTCCTTAGCTCATCTAGCTCACCATTCAGTTACTGCTGACTAAAGTTTCGAGTAAAAGAAGAGATTTGAGGGATTGCATTGCTCATTTTTAGTAGCCATCTCAATTTAATAGCTTTTCTTGGTTTATCTGAGAATTTGAATCTTTTCTGCAAATTGGTGTGAGCCAAAATCATCCTCAATCAGTTTATAGCTTCAGAAATAGGCAGCCAAGTTAGAAAATCTCTTCAGGTATTGGTGAGCTTAGATTTCTACCCAGTATCAAACTGAATCTATAGCAATCTATACTGAAATACTTGCCTTATTGTGCATTTTTGGCAACATTGTCGGTGCCTCCAAAAAAACTCACTTTTCTTGTCTCACTAATATTCATCTCAGAATAATTCAAACAAGGTCAGGTTGACACCATGCTATTATGACATAGTAAAGTATGTCATTTCTGGCCCTTTCAATATTCAGATAGCTGTGGAGCTTGCCAAAGTACATGCCTATATTAGTGAGGAACCTGAACTACACAGCTGAAGCTTTACAAGAACTTTATCCTCATGTTCTTGGATAATGTTCATGTAGGCTGGATTCCCAAGATGAAGGGTGGTGCATTCCAGAGAAATAAAAGGAATTCACTCCAGGTATTTTGTGTGAGAGAAAGAGAGGGTGGAGACAGACCATCTCTAATAAGTCTCAGAGTGTATGGTAGATGCACATAGTAGAGTACTTCAAATTGGCAAAATTCTGTCTAAAGATATGGCAACAATAAAGAATCACAGATAAGCAGAGTCTGGGCCATCATTAGTGCTCAGATATGGAGTTGACTTTTTTCAGTGGCTTTCCTCAACCTCTATTTCCATCTTAGCTGCTTTGTTTGTATGTGCCATGCTGCTCTTAGAGGGCATAGAGATGTAGCTAATAAAGAAAGTGTACATAAATATAAAAAATGTCTTATATTTAAATGAAAGGTTGGTATAGGTAGGGATCCTCCTCCTTTATTTCCTGGGTTTCAAGCTTCCAGATACCAGAGATCAAAGCAGGAACTCAAGGTCAGGTACACATCCACAGCTAGGCTAAAAGGCACAGAGATTTTATGCAAAGCATATGCATTTCTATTTCACACGTGTTATACATAATGGCTGATTAACTTTAGAAACTCATTTAAATGTGATAACTATGAAAAAGTAACCTTAACCAAAAAATTTTTTTAAAGGTGGGTTTTTTTGTCTGTTTTTGATAAATAAACTGAAAAGGGGTCCTTTAAATCTACATTTCAATAACCAATGCTTTGATAGATTTGGAGGGGGAGTCGCTTTTCTTCCCCTTGGAAATCTATTTGAAAGAGCATTTTGCCCTTTGTTTTCAATTACTTCTTATATAAAAAGTCCAGTCTTATACTTGATTCATTATGAGCCATATGGGACAACCAAAGTTTCAGAATCTGATCATTTTCTGGAATTATTAATATAAATGCTAATATAGGGCTATCATATCTGGGTTGGTAAAAGCACGACAAGTGCAGGAACAGTTGTAAGTTGAGGACTACCTGTATAGCAAAAATTCTATAAATCCTGGTTTACTCTGGAAAAGCACTGTAATTGTGCATGCCTCTCAGTTACCTCATGTGGCTCTTTCTGCCAACTTAGGCTAAGCTAGTTTCTTTACTACTTGACTCTCTTCAAACTTAATGAATTTTCTGGTTTGATTCCTGGCTTGTTTGAAACGTTATGTTCTCTGAATTAGTTGTGACAATAAACAAATCACAGAAAGAGATTTGCTGTCAGAAAGAGAAAACTTGAGATGACTGAGAAGAATGTACTAGTAAGTTGTTTGCTCATAACTAAGGTTCTGACAAGAACTTTTGACACACAAATAACTACTGATTATTATTTCCTGAATGCTGTGAAGAGCCTTTCCTTTTATCTGCCTTATAATGAGTGAACTCTATTAATTTCCACAGAAATATTAATTTTCTTGTTAATGCCTACTATTTAACTTTGTCACCTGAAACTGTCTATTACTGTATATTCATAGCGATCAAGATAGTGAAACTTATGTCCATTACATATGACATTGCATTTGTGAGCATGATTCGACTCCGTCATTTGCCTCACAAGTTAACCACAAAAATATGATTCCTGTAGCCTCCTCACAAGGAACAACTGCTCAGATGTCACAGTGTCTCCTTGTCCAGAGAGATTCCTGTGACAAGAACTCACCATTTGGATGCCGAAATCTGGTGCAATACCAAACTCAATTCTTTGAGGATATATAGTTTGCCATTAGACATCATCCGGAAGCCTACAAAGAGATATTTCCAGAGTCTTCCTTGGCTTTCAGTATCAGTTTTTACAATTTACAAGTTTATTAGGCTGAATAATTTTGAAACTATATATTTAGAAAATCCAAAGACTAAACAAATGTTAAGTACAAATAGTTCAGATGCAGGTCTATCTTTAAAACTAAGTGTATGTTCCATTTTAATGTATTTATTAAGATAATGTACATGGCTGTGCAACTCAGGGTGAGTTGGGCGGCTGATAGAAGTAAATCCCAACTACAAAACCCAATAAACTCCCATCACTCCAGCAACAGCTTTTGTTGCAGCTACTCTGGAAAGCTGTTTCAATTTCCTCAAGATCCTGGTTTTCTGTTCATTTGAGATGGCCCTTTTGTGAATTCCCTACTAACCCTACCCATCTGTCAAGTATACCTGAAACTCATGTCAGAGATTTTAATTTCCATCAAGCAGGTTAGCCAGAAGTGTATTAATCTAAAGCAATGGTCTCCAAACATGACAACTTTAAGACTTGTGGACTTCAACTCCTAGAATTCCTGAGCTAACATGACTGGAGGAGGAATTCTGGGAGTTGAAGTCCACAAGTCTTAAAGCTTATCAAGTTTGAAGACCCCTGATCTAAAGCAACAAGTATCATGCCTAATAACAAGTTAGAATTTTTAATACTTGTTTTCTTGCATGTCAACGCTTTTTTTTGAGGCAGCTAAGCACTGGATAGAGAAACTGAAAATGAATCTGATACAGGCTGTCTTTCAGCAATGCAAGTTAAGCATTAGCCTTTTCATGTGATTATGATTAAAGTTCAAAAGTAGAATTCGCAAAGATAAAAAAATAAGGGAAGCAACAGTAAATTGTACAGATACAGTAATGGTACTAGATACAGGACAGCCATAATTTCTCCCATGTTTTGCATTTCTTTCTCTTTTTTTGACTACTACTTTTTATTTTTTGCCTCTGAAATAGAACAGTGGGTATTTCTGTTTTAGAATTCAGCCATGGCTTCCCTTACATGGATTCTGAAAGATCAGAAAAGCTAACCCATGCGAGTTTGCTTTACTTTGTTCTGTAGTCTGGCTCAGAACTGAAGCTTAATTTTAATGCGATTGCGAGATAATATTATGATAGGGTGGAGATTTAGGAGACATAATTGACTCTTCCATTTAATTTAAAGCCAAGCTAAAAGATAATTGCTTCTGCAAATTGGTAGTTCCTCTGAAAGGTGTTTCCTTTTAATCCAAGTATCAATGGATGATTACACAAAAGTAGTATGGCTGTATTTTTTTTTAAATATCCACATTTCAATTCCATCTGACATGTCACTGGAAAGGCTGACTTCCTTTCTCCCTTCCCATTAGGTTTGGAAGCAAGCTTTGACCCAGAGAAATCATATCAAATGGCACAGAGAAGAAATCTATAACTTTTGCAATTAATTTGTCCTCAACAATCGTGGATCTAGGTATGAAGCATTCTTTGTCATAATTTGTCATAATTTTGCAAGCCAGAAGGCCTAGAAGCAAAATAAACAGAAAAATAATAAATTTACAAGCTCAGTTCTGAGTGGACAGTCTATAGTCATTGCTTTTTGTATAATCCACATGATGCTAGTTCCTGGTGATGTAATGCTGATGTCAACTCATAAAATATTTCTATGATCTTTTTAGAGTTGCCAACAGAAAGGGAGGGGGAAAGGGGTTTGAAAGTTTTGGAAGTTTGGCTCGAGACTCATGATTTAATTGGGGTAACTGCCAGAATCCTGACAGCTGAATGTCACTTAAAGAATACAAATTTAAAATGAATGCAGTGGATTATAATATTGTTTGGCTAGTTATAATAATTTTTGTATTTTTTAAACTGAATAGTTTTGATGACTGTTTGTTGCCTAGTGTCACTGGTTTGAGATGGGCAGCTATAC